ATTGGCTAAATTATTAATTTAATAAGAAAATCTATCAATTCAGGTTTTCTAAAGTACAGTGAAGAAAATGTCAAGGTGGTTGACTTTCATTTTCTAACTCTGGATAGTCAGCCAATACCTCGTACCTGAGAACGCCCCTCCTCCTCTAAGGGGTTTCCCAAAGGGTGGGTTTCTCTGTTGATTTACAGAGTCAATAATTCAGTAAAGTCCCAAGTAAATGGCAAAACACAAGCTCACATTGGGTTTTTGTATTCGTATTTTATAAATATTTCAGGAATTTTTTTTCCCTTGACCCTTGACCTTTTGCCATTTTCAGGTGGAGATTTTATATCCTGATAGCTTGGTTAGAAGCAACCTTAGGATCTTCTCCAGCTTCTTTCTCTGTGTAGATCCCACTCTCAGCACCATCCCTTGGTGGTAGAATCTGGGAGTCAGGCCCAAGCAAGAGTACCTCTCTTCATATTCTGGCTCTGCACTAATAGATGTGAGGCCTTGAGCAAGTTACTTCATCTGTTGCATGGTTCAGTATCCTCATCTGTAAAATGGGGATGATGATAACACCCACCTCAGAGGGTTACTGTGAAAATTACATTATTCTGTAAATGTAAAGTGCTTTGAATATTTCTGATACAAAGTAGATGCTCAGTGAAGCATCTACTAGCATCTTTATCTTCATCACCTTTTAGTAAGCCCCTCTTTGAATGCTCTAGGGAGAGCGGAGTCCACTAACCTCACTTCTCCCTCCCACTCTGTTTCCCCAGGATGGCTAGCCACATGTGGCCAGATGCGTTCAGGTTATCATGAGCTTGAAGTCAGATCTTTGGCAAGATAACCTATGGTAAATTTGGCTGTAACCAATCAATGACAACACTAATTTCATGCAACCATTGTGAAGACTAGTTAAGGAACTATATCTGCAAAGTATTTACCATGCTTCCAGCCACTTGGGTAGGGCTCAGTAAGTGAGAGTTGCTGCTGTGATGATGATGACTGAAAAACAAGAAAATAAAAAACAGGAGGAGGAAGCAAAGTAAAAGAGAGAAGCACTGGCAGCAACATTGACAGCTACTGCTGTATCTGTTTACAAGCTCTTTCAGGGGCTGTTATGGCATAGCAGGTAAAGCTACCACCTGCAATGCCAGCATCCCACGTGGGTGCCATTTCGAGTCCCAGCTGTGCCGCTTCCAGTTGAGCTCTTTGCTAATGACCTGGGAAAGCAACAGATAATGGTCCAAGTCTTTGGGCCTCTGACATCCTGTGGGAGACCTGAATGAAGCTCCTGGCTCCTCTCCCCCTCTCCCCCTCTCCCTCTCTCCCTCTCTCCCCCTCTCCCCCTCTCCCCCTCTCCCTCTCTCCCCTTCTCCCCCTCTCCCTCTTTCTCCCTCTCTTCCTTTGTTTCTGTCTCTTACTCTATCTCTGTAACTCTAACTTTTAAAATAAATAAATAAATAAATAAATCTTTTTTTTAAAAGAAGTTGTTTCTGCCTGGCTGAGTTCTGCTTCCCCACAATTTAACTCCCCAGCCCTAGCTCTACCCACTGGAGCTGCGTAGAACACATGTGCTCTGTCTTCCATGTGCAGCCCTTCAGATACCCAAAGAAGGCTGACACGGCCCCTCTTTGCTCCTGTAGCAGCAGCCCCACAACCACTTCTCATTGCCCTCCAGGCAGACATCTCCAGTGCTTGGGTTGTTTCTCAAAGAAGAATTTTTCAGCTCCTCCTTACCAGTAGGTCCTTCCTGGCATGTGCCATGCCCACCTACCCCACCTCACCCCCAGATTCATTCATTCATTCATTCATTCATTCAAAAGACAGAAACAGGGAAAACTCTTCCATCTGCTTCCTTCCAGGGCTGGGCCAGGCTCAAACCAGGAACCAGGAACTCCATCTGTGTCTCCTATGTGTGTGGCAGGGGACAAGCACTTGGGCCATCCTCCACTGTTTTCCCAGGCACATTAGCAGGGGCCTAGTTGGGAAACAAAGCAGTTGGGACCCAGAACCATCTGTGCCATTCTTGAATGGGACCCAGAAAACTGCCGACAGGAATCACAGTCTGGCCAGTATCTTGCTGAGGAGAAGCATGGTGTCTATAACCCGCTACGTTTCCCTTAGTTAATTTGTCCATGCCAGGGAAATGAGAATGGATAAAGTTTAGCTTTGGTTATTTTAAAAGCCTGTCTAAAAAGACCTCAGGGAGAACATGGGTGGATGTGGGACATGGGAGGGAGCACCCCAGCAGAGCCTTGTTCACTTTGCAGTAGTCCATTGGCACCACAGCCTCATGGAAGCTCTAGAAAGGGGTCTCCAGAGAGTGAGGCAGTACATGAGAGAGAAGGCAACACTCCTGCTGGGAGCTGGGCTAAAAACAAAGGCTTCAGGAGGATTTAGAGATAAGAGCTTCAGCTTGAAAACTGGAAAGTCCAGCTCCTACCCAAAGCAGTGCCCAGCCAGTAGTGGCTGCCACCTTCCGAGCACCGTGTCAGCTCAAGAACTGTAGTGGAAGCTTCTCCAGCGCTATTCCATCTAACCATCACAACAACCTATGACGTTAGAGAAACTGTGGTCCCATTTTACAGGTGGGAAAACTGAAGCTCGCAGGTTGTGTAACTTCTTTACAGTCGTCTAGGTAAGAAGGATTTGAATCTAGGTTTGCATTGCTCTTTCTAACCATGATGCTACATTCACAGGCCTTTTCTAGCCGTATGACCTTAAACAGATTGTATCCACTCTGAGCTTCAGTTTTCTCATCTTCACTACCTACATGGTTGTGATATGCATTAAATGAAATAATATACTTTAAATGCCTAGCAAGTAATAGGTATCCTAGAAATTTTAGGGTCCTCCTTTCCAAACCCTCTCTCACTTAAATTGTCTGAAAAATAAATCACTTACCTTTTCTTGGACACAGTTTTCTCATGTGACAACGGAATATGATTTATGAATCTCTGACCTTGCATATTGATAACCCTGGCAGAGTGCAACTCAGGCCTGATACTCCACTTCCCAGCCTCCTTTGCCTCCTAGCACATAACCCTGCCTGCACTCACAGCTCTGGCACTATTACGGGTTTTCTTTCTGCCAGCAAACATCATATTTACAAACCACAAATAACAAAGTAGAAGATGCCGGAAGAGCTCTGGCATGTTAATTAAGAACAATAGCAGAAGCAGCTGGACAGAAAATGCCAAAGAGTGGGAAGCAGAGACAGCACAGCTCTGTTTGTTGACAGAAGCCTGCGCAGGCCTGCACGGTGATTGGGGAAGTAGGTAAACATTGCCAGCAGCTTGCCCCACTGTGCTGGAAGACAGACAGCAGGCCGGGCCCTCCTGCCACTGTGCGGGGCCCATCTGCCCACAACCCAAGAGATATGAGTAGAGTGAGCTTTGTTCTAGGTTCTTATAAGCAGAGAGGATTCTAGGGTCGGATGCGTCTTCTTGATGACCCTCCTGGGCATACCAGATTTCCATATGGATACAGTTGAAGATAGTGTTATTCCCCCTTCAGCTTGCCAGCTCGCCTGTGACACTTGGCCTTGGCCCCCAGGGCATCTCCTCCCCCAGCCCGAAGGAGACAGCAGGGCCAGCTCATTAGAAGTGGCTTGAGTGGAGCAGAAGACAAGATTGCCTGCCTCAGAGACCCAGAGCCCTCATGTTATCTAGCAGAGCAGCAGCCTGAAGCCTTTCTGGGGTTTTTCTGGCCTCGTATCACTCATAGCTGCCCGTTGGTCTGTGTGTCCATCCATCCTTAGTTGCTCTCACACACAGCAGCCGTTATTAAATACCTGCTCTGTGCTAATAATGTTTTTTCTCATTTCATCTTCACATCCATCCTGACTACTTTTAAAAATTTTGTTACAGTCACTCTCAGGCTGGGAAAACAATCCCTGCCCCTGACCTAGGAGAGCATAAAGCTAATTTTTTTTTTTAAGATTTATTTATCTATTTGAAAGGCAGAGTTACAGAGAGGCAGAGGCAGAGGCAGAGAGAGAGAGAGAGAGAGAGGTCTTCCATCCACTGGTTCACTACCCTGATGGATGCAATGGCCAAGCTGGGCCAATTCGAAGCCAGGAGCCAGGAGCTTCTTCTGGGTCTCCCCACACAGTTGCAAGGCCCAAAGCACTTAGGTCATCTTCTACTGCTTCCCATGCCATAGCAGAGAGCTGGATCAGAAGTGGAGCAGCTGGGACTCAAACCGGCACCTATATGAGATGTCCCCTGCACTTCAGGCGGAGGCTTTACCTGCTACACCATAGTGCCAGCCCCCTAAAGCTAAATTAAAATCCCTGTATAACTAGCCTGTCCGTTGAGTCAAGAAGATTTTGTCTGTATTTACTTTGTTGTTGATTATATGCAATAATTATTTTGTTATTTCTAAATAGAAAGTTGCATTATGGCATTTGATTCATTTTTTTCCACAGTAAGCAAGAGACTGCAAGGCCTCCATAGGGCTCCCTCACTAAGGGAAACACTCATCTTTGGACACTTTGTGGCCATTGTACAGTTTACTGCATGTAGTGTTAGCAGGAAGATCAACCTCAAAAAGGCTCCCCTGCTATCAGGAATGAACTGAGCCTGTGGCAGTCCCTAGGAATGCTGATTGGCTGTTTAGGCAGCATCTTTCCTGAGGGCCCCTGTTCTGTTGGCCAGGCTGTGCTGTGCCGGGTGCAAGGGAGCTCCACCCTCCAGAAATAGGTTGAGTCTCCAGAACTTATGCCCTGAGGACGAATGCTGCTAGTTTCCCCACTTGACTTACACTCAGAGACAACCTCTCTGAACTCTGGTTTCCTTGCTTTAAAAATGGAAGTAGTACCTACACAAGGTTATTTTTAAGATGAAATGAGATAATGTAAAAATGCTCGTGCCAGTTCACAGTAAGTTCAAAGTCACCATGCATAGATAAAATGAATACCATGTGGAGAAAATAGTCCTTGTTCCAGTCTTCTGAACATTTGTGTATGTGTGTGTGTGTGTGTGTGTGTGTGTGGTTTTTTTTTTTTTCAGGTAACTCAGCTGGACCCAAATAAATCATTATTGGAGGTAAAGTTGTTCCCTCAAGAAACCCTTTTCCTTGAAGCAAAAGAGTAAGCAAAGCCCAGCGGTGGAACCAGCCACTCCTCGACAAGCCAGCGGCCTGCCTCAAGAGAACGGCTCCTCGCCAACCCACCCACACGCTCGTCTCACTCAATTCAGTGTCACACTTCTGCCTCTTGCAAGATTGCTGGGAAAAAAAAGTAATAATAAACATACCTACTTAAAATTTCCCCTTCACGAGTATATGTTCCCGACCTTCATTCCAGAGAATGACAGCTCTGCTGTCCTCTCTCTCCCCTGCACTTGGCCCTCGTAAAATAACTAAGGAATGCACTGCTCCGTGTGAGCGATCGCTGTGTAGAATCTTTACCTCTCCAGTGCCTGTCTTTTCCCCACAGTGTCTGGGACAGTTCTTTCTGACCTGCAACGCCAAGATGCTTGAGATATTTGGTATGTCTCACTGAGCCAGGCCTCATACAACACTGCCTTTTTATTTTCATGACTGGATTTCTACTTTGTCACCTAATTTTAAGAGGCGCGGTTGGGGGGGAAGACAAATGAGACATTCTTGGTGTGGAGATTAAACGTTGTAGGAAAAAAAAAGCATATCACTTTTGTTGGCACTTTCTGACTTCTGTACTGAGATGTAAGGTTTTGTTTGAGGACTGCATTTCACATAAAGGCAACATGGTTGTTTACTGCTTCTGCCTTCAGTCCCTGGACATACTTGCTGTTCCTCTGCAGCCTGGGAAAGTACTGAGGAGCACAGTTTGAGTGAGGAGGTAGTGCGCAGAGAGGACCAGTACCAAGGCTTTGAAATCCACACCAGCTGTAGGAAACTGCTTTTAGGTTTGCATTTTGGCAGTTGGAACCTTCCAGATACCAGACCCAGGTTGCTAGTTCGTCAGTGTACACTGAACACAATTCTTACCTGTCACCAAAATCGGATCAGCTGCCCCGTGAGCTCTTCTGTAATGGGGAACTAGTTCCACTGTTTGATTCATTTATCATTTTAGTATTAGATGATGGATTCCCTTCTCAAATGAAAGGAATCTCTTTTTATGGCTGAAAATTTAGACTTGATATATTTATGTGAGCAAACTTGGGGGCTCAGCTCACAGGACTTGTCTTACCTGGAACTGCATTTAGCAGTTTTGAATTTAATTTAGTAAATACGGACTTTTGTTAATCTGGATTTGGGGTTTGGAGTTTAGTTCATAGGAATACAATTTGTACCTTCACAGTTAGTGATTTTTTTTTTTTTTTTTTTTTTTTTTTTTTTTGACAGGCAGAGTGCACAGTGAGAGAGAGAGACAGAGAGAAAGGTCTTCCTTTACCGTTGGTTCACCCTCCAATGGCTGCCATGGCCAGCGTGCTGTGGCCGGCGCACCACGCTGATCCGATGGCAGGAGCCAGGTGCTTCTCCTGGTCTCCCATGGGGTGCAGGGCCCAAGCACTTAGGCCATCCTCCACTGCACTCCCTGGCCACAGCAGAGAGCTGGCCTGGAAGCAGGGCAACCAAGACAGAATCCGGCACCCCAACCGGGACTAGAACCCGGTGTGCCAGCGCCGCAAGGCGGAGGATTAGCCTATTGAGCCACAGTGCCTGCCAGTGATTTCTTTTTAATCTTAGAATGCTTCTCCATATCTGTTTTCGTATCACCTTTGGTCTTTATCCTAGGGGTTGTTCAAAAAAGAGAGTCTAAATTCTGCATTTGTTCTCCCAACCCTTGTAAAGGGGTTCTCAGAAGATTCTAACCAAAGTTGGAGATATGCCTGGTCATTTTCCCTCTGTCCAGAAGTAGGTGTTGGCTTACTGCCAGCTTGTGTCTTTCCTCTGATGTTTCAACCAGGGACCTCCTATAGACACTCTTAAAAATGCAGTGTTCCTAATAGACTAGTGCTGCGTCTAAGTGTGGACCTTCTGTGGCCCCAGGAGTCTCTCCAGAGAGACTGAGAGGAACACCCACTGATGGGAGGAATTCAACCAGGGCACTTCCTGTCCAGTTCCACCCCTACCTCCTAACCAAGAGACTCCACAGGATAGTCAGTCATTTCCAGTGCTAAGGGCACTGGGGCATCAGCTTTTTTTTTCTTCCAGGAGCTCTTATTCTGTAGAAGCTATGGAGAAGTTGCAGTCCTAAACTCAGGAACAGCAGCCGGGGTGTGGGTAGGGCTTTGAGGGAAGGGACTCTGAATTCACTTTAATTTGTAACATGTTCCATCTGATTTGGATTTGGTTACATCACAATGTTCCCTCCTACTTATCTTTACTTCTGTATTCCAACAATGTAGACTACTCTGAAAACAATTTCATAAAAGTGATTAAATGCTACCTAAATGTGTAAAGTTGACACACACATGAGTCCGGCCCTGTGGCATAGTGGGTAGTCTCTCCCTGCAACGCTGGCATCCTGTGTGAGTGCCAGTTTGTGTCCTGACTGCTCTACTTTGATCCAGCTCCCTGCTAATGCACCTAGGAAAGCAGTGGAAGATGGCCCAAGTGCTTGGGACCCTGCACCCACATGGGAGACCCAGAAGAACCTTCTCACTCTTGGCTTCAGATCAGCTCAGCTCCAGCCATTGCAGCCACTTGGGGAGTAAACAAGCAGATGAAGATTTCTCTCTCTGCCTCTCTGTCTCTGTCTCTCTCTCTCTTTCTCTTTCTCTAACTCTGCCTTTCAAATAAATAAGTCAATCTTAAAAAAAAAAAAAGTACCATTACAAAAACAAGTTGATATATGCTTTTTCATCATTGTTTTAGAAAGTTGTTCTCCTTTAGAGAAATTTTGCCGGTATCCTGTTGCTTTTTAGAAGGTACAGTTTTTTTAGAGGGCTCTAGTTTGAGATGTTGCAATTCTCTAGCGCTGCTAGTTTTAGGGAACAAACAGGTGCAAGCATCCAGTTGGAGTTGGACAAGCACATTTTTATGGGGATCTTTCTTTTAATGTAAGAGAATAAGATTTAGGCTGTTACAGATTTTACTTATTGGTGACATTAGAAACATGAAATAAGTTTGCGATTGCATTCAAATTACTATTCCCACTTTAAAATTGCATCGTTGCTCACAGGTTGGGCTACCATCTGGGATACCAGCATCTTCTATGGGCACCAGTTCGTGTCTCAGCTGCTCCACTTCTTATCCAGCTCCCTGCTAATGCACCTGGGAGAACAGCAGAAGATGGCCCAAGTGCTTGGGCCCTTGCCACACATGTGGAAGACCTGGATGGAGTTCCAGGTTCCTGGCTTCAGCCTGGCCAAGGCATGGCTGTTGCTGCCATTTGGGGAGTGAACCATCAGATGGAAGATAGACATTCATTCTCATTTTCTCTCTCGCTCTCTCTCTCTCACTCTCTCTCTCTCTTTCTCTCTCTCTCTCTCTTCATTCCCCACCTCTGGCATTCAAATAAGAAATAAATCTATAAAAAAAAAAATTGCAACTCCCAAAAGCTAAACATGCTGACCTGAGTATGCTAACTCAGTTAGATAGGTTTTTTGGTTTTGTTTCATATTTCTTCTCTTATTAGAAAAGCAGAGAAAGAGAAAGATGAAGAGAGATCTTCCATCCACTGGCTCATACCCCAGATGCCTGCAACAACCAGGACTGCCCAAGCCAAAGCTGGGAACACAGAACTCAGTCCAGGCCAGGCTTCCCACATGATGACAGGGGCCCAAGTACTTGAGCCATCATCACCTGCTGCCTCCCAGGAGGTACATCAGCAGGAAGCTTTATCAGTAGCAGAGTAACCAAGACTCAAACCAGGCACTCTGATGTGAGAGGTTGGTGTCCCTCACAGCCACTTAACTGCTATGCCAAACACTTGCCCCGGAATGGACTGTTAAGAGAAAGCAGAGTGCTGGCAAATTCCTTCCAAAGCATGGATTTTTTTCATTTGGATCTAAGAAAGGTTCTTAATTATTCCCATCAGTAGCATCACTGACACATTTCCACCCAAGCTTTTCAACCTCTCAACCACCTAGTCCTGGGTCCCACAGGTAGATGGGTCATGGAGTCCTAACTCTGCCCACAAGTAACTCACATAGGCATCACACTTTACAGTCTATGTAACCCTTTTGCATGCAGGATATAATTTGATCCATACACATTCTAAACATTTCAGTGTCTTCCTGTTTGATACCTGTTGACCTGAAGGTGAGTAACTTCTCAGAACGTCAGTGTCCTGACAGCATTCAGGTAGCGCTTTGTCGCGTACCACAGCCTCCACACTCCGCCACAGCCCACTGCTATGAGGGAGACGAGGCAGGGACGGGCATTCCACTTTGGAATGCAGGGCCCAGCGCTCTAAAGTTACACACATGTCAGTAGAATCAGGACTCGAGCCCTAGCCTCTGATTTTTCACTTCATTCATCTCCAAGAATGGATCTTGGAATCCTCTACAATTACAAACAAAAAGCTAAACGTCTTTTCTGGAAATGGAATCTGTATTTCTTAGATGGTCAGTGGGAACTGTTGATCAAGAAGATTGAAGAACCACCTTTTAAAAAAAGAAAGATTTATCTATCCATTTTTAAAAGTCAAGGTTATGGAGAGAGAGGGAGAGAGAGCTCTGCATCTGCTGGTTCACTCCCCAGATGGCTGCAGTGGCTAATGCTGAGCGGGGCTAAAGCCAGGAGCCAGGAACTTGAGTCAGATTTCCCACAGTGGTGGCAGGGGCCGAAGAACTTGGGCAGGCCATCTTCCACTGCTTTCCCAGGCCGTAGCAGAGAGCTGGATCAGAAGTGAAGCAGCGGGGACTTGAACCAGCTCCCATTGTGGAGGCAGGCATTGCAGGTGGCTGCTTTACCCACTGCGCCACAGCACTGGCCCCGAAGAACCACTGTTGACACGATGCAAACATCAGATCATTTGGGAAGTTGAATCTGTCCATTTTGTTTACAAAGTCATATTTTTATCTCAAATAAACCCCAAAAAGGATGAAATGCAACCAATAGGCTTTCTTGCCTTGAACCTCCCTCTGCGTTTAGTATTTCTCCCTTGTCTTAAATCATCTGCCAGTCGGCTGCTCCCTTGGAAAGTTTGGTCAAAGGAAAAACAGCAGATCTCCAGTGTTCAGTCTGTTAACTTACTTTGCACACTGCGATTCTTGGCGTGGGGAGGTGGGGTAACGGGTGGTTAAGAGGCAGCCTCTGGGGGCCTGCTTGGTGGCGCACTAGGTTAATCCTCCACCTGCGGCGCCGGCATCCCATATGGGTGTGGGGTTCTAGTCC